TCGAGACGTTTCTCTTCCAAAATTGTAGTATTTTCTCAGTTTGAAGTTTATATTTAGGTAAAACAAATAATAAGTTTGTAACTATATTAATAATTTTAATTTCAGTGATATCATACGAGACGAATTCAAAAGGAATTGTATACGGCTACTACGGTCACTCGTTATGGTCCGCAATCAGTTGCCAGCACAAGTGAGCAAGTTTTCTGACACTGTAGAAAATTTTATTTTATTTAAACAGTAATACAGCTTTAATCTGTAATATAATTTAACGATGAACACACTGAATGTCAATGTAGAAAAACTAGAATATAGCAAACTAGAATAAGCATAACATAGGTTATGTTATTACTTATTATATATTATATATTATAGCATAACATGTTTAAGTAAAACAAAACAGGCAAAAGAAATAATAAATTTGTTACTTCTCAATAATTTCTATCATACGAGACGAATTAAAAAAAAAAAAAGCGACGCATTATTGTGTACGGTTCGGTCACTCGTTATGGTCCGCAATCAGTTGCTATCGTAAGTAATGTCGTTTTCTGACATTGTAGAAAATTTTATTTTATTTAAAAGTTATTACAGCTTTAATCTGTAATATAATTTAACGCGTGAACACACTAAATGTCAATGTATTTAACTAGAATATAGTTACATCAGGCATAACATAGGTTATGTTATTACATATTATATATTATAAATTATAGCGTAACATGTTATGATGAGTAAAATTATATATTTGAGTAAAACAAAACAGGCAAAAGGAATAATAAATTTACTTCTGAATAATTTCTATCATACAAGACGGGTTCAAAAAGAAAGCGACAAATTGTTGTAGTCGGTTTGGTCACTCGTTATGGTCCGCAATCGGTCCGCCAGCGCAAGTGGTTGAAACGTCTAACGTTCCTTCTTTCTGGCGATTTGCAACGCGAATTCTCTGAGAAACGAAACATTCACCTTTCCTTCCAAGTAATTAAATTGAATATTTGGATCCCCGTTGGTAAACCAACGATTGGCGAGGAGACGAAAACGAAGGAAAAGCAACGACCAAACCATGAACAAACCCATCTTACTAGCGCTTCCGGACGGGAAATCTGCTCCCGCCACGGACCGTCGACCAATCGAATCTCACAGGGAATTTAACACCCTTCTGGATGGACGGAAAAAAGCCGAAATTTCCAATTTTATCGAATCTCCGGTCGTCTGTCCCTTAAACAAATATCACGGCGCGGCCGCAGACTGATCGATGGGAAATTGGAATGAAATTTATTACGGGCTCTGGCCTCTAGAAAAGGTGCGATCGATTTTATCGATATGTTCGGAACCAATGGATTACGTGATTAATTTCCATGTAGAAACATATTTATGTAACGTCGTTGGTTTTTCAAACTCAAGTTATGCAAGCTTTCTCCACATCCAGTTCAAGATATGTTACGTCGACATAATTTCGTAATACGTGCGAAAGTTGCGATCGATCGACTACTTTCGCGTAATTTCGAGAAAAAGGAACGACACTCGTTATTGTTCCCAGAAAGGAATATCGAAATGCTAGTAATCAACGGCGCGTCGAGTAGTTCTGGAATTCGAAGTTTCGTTTTATGTTTCGAGAGAGATCAGCGTCGTGCCACGGAGCTAACCCTTCGTTATAGTCAGCCATCACGCGAGAATCAAGGGGAGAGCCTCTCGGGTCGCTGGATGCACCGGAAACGAGAAGAATATCCATCGGTGCAGGCGCAGCATCTGCGTGAACGACCTTATCGGAAAAGGCATAAACGCCTGAAATCCAGGTCGTAAATTAGGATCGACAGAATGCCGGACTCTTCTTTCGTGTCCCTCTTTCCTTCTCTCTTTCTCGTTCTAATAAATATTTTTACCGACTCGCAGTCCACCGTCGTGCGACGACTCGCTCACTCTCCTGCCACCGCACGACTCTCTGTCACGTCGTTTACGCCGCCGGAAATCAGATACACCGTGTTCAACCAAAGGGTGGGGAGGAACGCCACGGCTGCCGCTGAAGATAAGAACCGATTACCGCCCCGTGGAAGAAAAATGACTCGCGTGCGATTTAACTTCGAAATGGATTCGACACGACGATTCGGAGTGACGAAAAATTCCACCGCAGCTGAGGCTGGATACGAGAAAGCCGACTCGGCCGTCGGACGTAAGCCGCTCGGGAACTTTGTCCCGGAAATTGGCAAAACCTGGTCGCGGCGATCACCGAGGCTGTAGGTCGCGTGGACCATTACAGGAGTGAAGAATTTCTACGAGCTTTCTACCCGGGATAAGGGGAGAAGTATGACGATCCTTGTGTCGATCCTGTGCCGGTGGTGGTGCTAGTGCCAGCAAAGAAGAGAGCCAGCTTGATGGCGGAATGTTCGACGGTTTGAAGGGGAGTTGGGTGGCGGAGGGGGAGGTGATGGCGGTGGAGAGTCTATGCCGTAACAAGGGTGGCACGATTTCAAGAATGCGGAGCACGTTCTCAACCAATGCCGGCAGCCAGGCAGTAAAACAAATACGCCCTCCCTATGTACGGGGTGTCTCGGCAATACCGCGTACCGTCTACACGTCGGGCCCGGGTACACTGTGTCGGTTGCACTCCGACGAAAATCCCGCTGCCTCGTAGGTGAAGGCCTCGTTACCGATACGAATGGAGGTAATGCAGCGTGTACGTACGTAGTGAAACCTTTTCATGGCCTCCTCCCATGGGCACACGTCTTTATGGACGAAAGACAAATTAACTCGGCGAAGGAAGGAAGACGAGGCAAACGCAACGAATGAAAACTCGTTGACTTGCGAAGTTGTTTCTCCTCTACGATCTGGCGTAGTATGGTTGTCGTCTTTGCTTCGATTGGTGGACGCTGATCAATTTTGCGAATATCATTTCATTTTGTTTTTTTTTTCCCCGCATACATTTCGTTCGAAAAAAAAAAAATATATATATATATAATCATCGGTATCACGCAGGTCGCGTATCGACGTTGCCTACGCGATTACGTATCGGCGGGAGTGCCGCTGGCTCGGAATCCGGAATAAAGCAGTCAATTACGGCTGTAGGCACCCTTTTCAAGTATTCCCCACGAGGAGCACACGAAATCCCCGCGTTGAAACTGAACGCGAAACGGCCGATAAAAGCGTACAATGACTGGTACGAGCACGGAAACGCAAATGTCCTCTCTTTCAGCGGCGGAGACGTCCTCTTTGGAGGGCAGCGAATGATGGACAGGTGAAAGAAGTGGCCAATGTGGGCTGGTTTCGGCGTCTCATGTGACACACACGTCACCGGCCTTTGTTTTTCTTTCACTTTTGATCGAGTGCTCCCGGCCCCTTTGTCCGCTCGCTTCTCGAACCCTTCTCGTTTCTTCTGTTATTTTTTTTTTCTCTTTTTCTTTTTCTTTCTTTCTTTCTCCAGCCAGTTTAGTACGAACGAGAATTTTCTTTGGGACAACCCGCGGAAATTGAACCAGACAGCCTGGAGAATCCGAGAGAACGGATTCTACCGCGATAATAGGAACGTATGTACCAACGGGTGGTCAATTTAGAACCTCCGCTCGCTGAGCCGTTATATCACGCTCACACAAAATCAATTATTATTTTAATTCTTATTCGAGACACTGGAATATCAGTTTTAATAATACTTTTTGTTAGTCCATCTGTGCCAATATCAAGTAGGTAATTAAATCTCTAAGTGATTGACTCTCTACTCAATCAGTAATTAAAATCCCCATGTAACGCGTAATTAAAGTCCTTGAAACGTAATTGAATCGACGCAACCTGTTTCTATCATTATATGCCGCGAACCTGCGATCCACTCTTTTGAATACTGATCTCTGATCTTTGTTCGCGGTCGAATAGCACGTAAACGACTTGCTCCCGTTTTTTCAAAGGGTCTGCAAACGATGGACCAGTTTTCCACCTGATCTGAATCACGATCTATTTTCGTTCGTCAACATCTCGTGCCATCCGGTGGAACCTGTTTGCTCGCGTGGCGAGGTCCTGCCCTCCTCTGACGAGCTCGCTGATCCTGTTGGGAAACTGGTCCATCAGGAAGGGGATGCTGCCGCCTCTCCGTAACAATAGCCACTGTCCACTGTCCATTGTTGTCGAGGGTAAACCGCAAAATGAATCCAGTTAGCCTTTGACTTTTATTCTAAAATCGGTCTCGGTCAATTTCCGCTGACAGAGGACTGGTCCACCAAGAAGGGGATGCGACAGCATCGCTTTGTACTTAGCGGTCCCGTATCTGGTCAAGAGCAATAAACTCGAACCATAAAACCGGAGAGCCGGTTGGCCTTTGACTTTTTTGTCGGGACAGGATCACTGAAAGCGCTGTCCTTTTCGAGGAATGACAATAGCGTGTCCCGTTTGCGGATAAATAATTGGGGAAATTTGTGAGAAAAAGATAATGGAAGATAATAAATCGAATAAACATCAGCAATCATTTGAAAATTGTCCCGCCAAAGGAATTTTCACTCTAAGTCTTCAATCCTTTAACCTGCCCCCTAGTGGGTTCCACAGTAAATTGCAGTATATTGAAATTGTAGAACTCTGCTTCAACGACGTGAGATAAGTAAGAGAGACTGCTTGACTAAATTATAATTTTCCATTTCATTGTTAGGCACAGAGTACACTAAAAAAACTAATGATTTTCTTTCTGGTCGGTATTTCAGACTCTGAAACGTGAAATCCCGTTTTCGTGTCAAATCTATTCTACTTTCAGTCGGTCATATAACAAATTGTTTTATCGACAAAGTTCTCTGACATTTGTTGCAGGTAATAGAGTTTCCATTCGTACAACAAATGATAAAAACCAGAAGTTTAAAATTTATCAAAAATGTAAAAACGTGATATATTTAAGAACAAGACTAATTATTGTAATAAAAATTAATTTCCGTACGAATCAAAATTAGATCCTAAGATCCTATGGAAAAATCCAATAAAACGTTTGTTGTTGCACTTGTCTCCAAGCAACGCTATACCGCATATCAGCTGCATACGAAGTGTCGCGAGCGTACGACAAGTGTTATGGATTACTAACGCGAAAGTGGAAAAAAAAGTGACACGTTTCCTGTTTCGTCTTGAAATGTACGCAAGCAATACACACCGAGCGTGCAATAGTAACTTGTCCGAGCAGCAACAAGCTAAACTACAAAAGATCAAAGAGCTGACGAGCATTCTGAAGGTTAACAAAAGTTTGAAAATGATTTTATAATTTTGTAACAAGTGCTTCTTGTTCCGCAGGATACAGATAAAAATCTGACTATTTGCGAAGAAATATTGGCAACCTACATAAGGAAACGATTACGGGTATGTGCAAAATTATTTCATCCCTTCCTCAATGTGAATCGTTTATTTCGTTTTTTCTCTTTTTTTTTTTCTTTTTTTACTGATGAACACCGTGATATTCGTACAGTAGATATGATACATAACATTGAGAACAAAATTGGACGACAAAATTGAACAAACGTGAGTCGAGTGAACGACTTCGCCACGTAAGTAATATTTTAGTTGCTTGATGAATGTTAAGCAACGAATATATAACCAAGGTAATGTTATCTCGTGATCTTAGAGTTGTGATACTCAATATACGTGTAATTAAAGTTCAAATTACCCTAACGTTTATTCAGTGCAAAAAGTTAAATGGTAAGGGAATGTTGTGAATTATATTCATAAAATTATGGAAACATCTCGGACGAATCTCTATCCTCTCTTTTCAATTTACCATCCCTTGTACCAACCACGATATCCGTAACCGTATCCACCGTGTCCGTATCCGTATCCTCCATATCCATGACCGTAATACAGAGGCCAGCCTGGATACCATCCAAATCCATACCTAAAATTGTATTTTGTCTTTTGAAACGTCTTCTGTCACTCTCACAACGAAATTGCTTCAAACATTCTTTCACAGAAATTTGACGAGAAATTGCGAAGAATAGATGAAAAAATTCTAATGGAACCTCAAAAGTTCCAGCAAAGTAATAAACAACGTGTTTGAACAAAAGGAAGAGAATGCAACTCTAGAGATATCTGCCAGTAATCTTCTTAATAAATATTTCTTTTCACTCTCTTTGATCACATTAATATCTGTGTGTATAATTTTCTGACGATAGAACAGAAGGAAGCAATCAAATACCTTCGTAGCCTATAACTAAAAGTTAAATTATAACACAAAGTCCATAGTGGCGCAGGAAATTTGTTAACACAATGCAAATGTATCCGACTTCCTGTTACAAAATCCGCAATAATCTCTGAAGCGAGAGCTATTTCTTTCCGTTTCTTCTGCAAAACCTTTCGAACATCCACCTCGCAACAACAGTTTACCTACCAAGGCCAGATGTAACTATATCCTCCGTGACCCCACGGATGCCAACCGTAACTTCTTTTCGCCACTTTTTTATCCTCAGTTCCATCCTGAGAGTTTGGCTGAGCCTGATTCTCGGCAATTATCTTTTGCGACAGATCACTGTCGCCCGTCACTTTGTCGAGGGTGCTGATCGGGGGCACAGTGGCCACCCCCAACGCGAAAATGGTCAACAACAGCAACAACTAAAACGATGATCAGATCTCGTTTGCATGATCGAACTAACTAATGCCGTCAGTGAATTTTCTACAAGTTACAAAGTCACAGGTTGCACCAGATCGAACAGTACGTCACTCTTTCTGCGATACATGCGCACCAAGAACTTTGGATAGTTTGTTTGTTTAGCAGGCAAACTTGCCAAGTTTCGAGATTGCATCTGAGATGCAACGTGAATTTATGAGATTTTGGCAGCCCGAGACGATCGTGGGCCCATAATTTGTAACTTGCCGATTCACCGGTCATCATTAATTCGCAATTGATTCGCAACATGATCCTTGTTCGTCACCAGAACACTAGTTTCCCACTGAGATTATTCTTACCAGAAGATTCATGTTAAACCTGACTCACAATACGACTGTGTGGTCCAAAGAATGGACAGTTCTTTTATACCTTGGATACTCTTTGGGAAATTATCGCGTTACATATACCTAATTGAATTCTTGATTCCAACAACTATTTCCTGATGCCTAAGTTAGTCCCTGTTACACTTTCCATCAGTGGAATAATTGTGTCTCGTAACTATCTCCGAGCGAAAGCACAGAATCTTTAATGGGAAAGCGAACACGTAATCGAAAGCTGGTTTTATTGTTATGGTCGTTATGGCCGGCCGTCCAGTTTAGTCGAGCCTGATCCAGCGTTTTTAATGGCAGGTATTTCCTCGAAGCAAGCAAGTGCTTACGTACAGGCACGAGATTTCTGTCTGTTATCGGGAATATATCTGGAATTCAGTTGACGCGAGTCGCGTAATTGAATTCTTGTCCACGGTTTTAAACGATTAAAAACACGAATCGATGAATCAAATCTCAATCAATTAGTATCAAACGGCCGTACGTTTTTCCTATGTTGTAACAGATCCCACTTCCGCCGTGTGTATTCATCTCTAACTACCATAATCACGATCTCTAAGGCAAGCTCTAAGGCAACACAGATATTTTGAAGTTTGAAGTTAAAGCAGCGGGCCGAGCTAACCGATAATCAAGCATCGTAAATATGTTGCGTGTGTATGTGTGTGCGTGCTGACAATTTCACGGCAATTTCGCAGCGATTGTAAAACATTTCCATCTGCAATCTGACCACCGGGTAATGTTCGCCATCCGGCATTGTTCACGAAAGAATCACGGGGATAATGAGGCGAACGAAGCTGGGAACATTCTCAAAAGGCGCACGCAATTTCGCGGTGTTTCGCGCATCGTGCAATTAGCCTGGCCGGTTAATTAAGCAATTAGTTTAGACGGAACAGTCGATCGAATGGATTCGTGCTCGAAGCGAGTCGACGTGAGCCATTTGAGGAGGTCAGTCAACAGGAACACGCTGCCTGTTCTGTAAAAACCTGGCCCTCCTCCCGATTCCTTATTCCCCCCCGATGGAAAAATCTGTGTCGTTTGGTTTTTCTCTCTTTTCCTCGCCCAGTAATTGTCCCCTTAAGGAGGTTTTGTCACACCAGTCCAGGAAATCGAGCCAGCGGCACCGTTTGCCGCTGGACTTTCTCTGGGTGGAGAACAGGTGACATAATCGACATACTTAGACAGAACGTGTACAGCTGGCAAACATCTAAACCTGGCTCATTGTCCACTGACGTAATGGCTGGCTATTGTTGCTAATACGACCCTCGTTGAGGCCCTAGCTGATCGAGCGGAGCATCCAAATAATCGGAAAAACCTCTGAGCTTTATTTATTTTCGCTCGTCCCCCAATACCGGACCATTTGATCCGATCTTCAATTAACTGACTTTCTACGTTGCGTAACAATTTTGTAGTAAAATTGATAAGGCGGAAAGTTTCTGAAGAAATTGATTCCTCGTGACGTTGCAAAGTACATTTGTAACAATATTCCTTAGATGAACTTAATCACGATAGGACTTTTTTGCAAAAATATTTGAAAAATAATATGTTCAAGTTTGTTTCATTCGGTAATATACGTTTATGCGATTATTCAATGAGTTTCAATTGTCTACCAACGACGAGAAATATTTCAAATTTTCTAGCAACTATGCAACAACTGCAAGTAAACATAAAACACTGTGTGTCGCGCACATTTCTTAATAATAAGTTTCACAAAGTAGACAAAATTATGTTTTCTAACGTCAACGAACATTTATGTATATTCACGACTAGCCCCTCTTCTTTCGTTTCAACAAGCGAAATTTAAGTCAAACTAATTTTCCCTTCGAAGACTACCTTTAAAAGTAGCATTCTTTCTCGCTGTTAAACTATTTCTAATCTGGCTCGTTGGCTCGCCTAACTAATTGCATGTTCCGTGCATGTTACATGCGCAATTAAAGGCAGACGCGTGACCGCGTCGGATCTATTGTTCGCGTCTTAACGAACTGTCGTCGTTAGACGCGATTCCGTGCAATATCACAGCGTTCCTTCATGCTTCAGTTGTCACAAATCAACGAGCGGCTCTGTGCAATTCAAGTGAAACTCGACATTTCTTTCCGATGTTATGCAAAAATCCATCCCCGCCAGCTAAAGTTTCGTTTAACGACGCTCGAGCGCGACACCGGTCGCGCAGTCCTCGCGGGATCCTCGCGATACCTTCAACTACGAAACCGTCATTCGCGTCATTTCATAAAACTTCCTCTTCGACACAAATTTCATTTCGTAAATTACACTGCTACTCAACTATCGATCACCGCCGAAATATTTCGTCGAAAATCGCTCTGATATTTATTTAAAAAATTGATTTGAGATTAAGAAAAAAAAGTCGTGTTCGTCGGTGAAGTTACAGTTATGCGACAACTAACCAAATCGATGACGATCCGAGGAATACGCGATTGAAGATAGAGATGCTCGGTACCTCGTTGCCATTCGGTGCGTAAAGTGTAACTTCCAAATAGAAAGTGCAGAGAGAGAGAGAGACAGAGAGAGAGAGAGAGTGTAGAACAATGAAGCTTAGGACATTTCACCTCCTATGTTACTTGTGCTTGGTGTGCACTTTCGTTCAGTCGAGGAACAACCGAAAAAGTCAGTTCACTTTGTCCAACTCTGTTTCGGAAGAGTCGACGGAACTTTTCAACGCAAACAATTTACGGGACAAACGAGCGTTAGGACTGATTCTCTCAGGCCTGGCGCAGGTATTCGGCTACACTGTAGATCCTGTGCAAATAGCCTCGTTGCCCAACCCTAATTCAGAGGCAAGAGTCACCAACAATACTATCGAGTCCAATGGATCGACTACTTCAGCTGCCAGACAACGAGAAACGATCAGATTCACCGGCGTGGTCAATCTCGGCAATGGAACAGACGTGCTAACTCAGTTGCAACAATACGAAAACATTTTCCACGGAGGAAATGGTAGTTCATCTTCCACGAGCTCTCCGCCACAGTTTGATCCAAGAACGCAAACCCCTGTTCAACCACAACCATTCTTGATCAAGAGACTCCCTCTACCGTTTATGTCAGAGCCTCCCTTACCGACTATACCTCAACCCCCTCTTCCTGAGATTCCGTCGCAATTTATTAATCTGTCCTATCCTGAATCGTACGTCGTTCCAACGCGCAACGATCAAGACACCGCGTACAAAAGTAAGAACGCGACCGTGAAAGATCAATCGCCGATAGTAGGTCGTCTTCCAACTACGCCTGCCCCTTCTACCCAAGATCCAGGATGGAAGCAAGAGTACGAGGACAGACTCGCGAAACTGGAGCGAAAGCAGGAGGAACACGCGAAGAGATTGATGGAGCAAGAACGGTACAGGAACGGTCAGAAGAATGATAATAATGACGATGGTGGTTCAAAGAAGGAAATAAATCATAGAGGTCAAGATTCTGGATGTAAAGGTGACCGAGAAGAAAGTGACGAGGAGAAACAGTCGGGGGAGGAAGATCAATCGAGAGAGAGTTATGAAAGTGGCGAGAAGATTATTACGAGTGACAAGGAGAGCGAAGATGTAAGGTATAGAGATTACAAGAACGATGACATTTATAAAGGGAACAGGCCTCAGACCAATGAAAATTATACTAGTATAATACAGTACAGCAGTGAACCACTGCCTTTGAGCGAGGACGACGAACAACGGAGACCCGAAGACCTTCGTAATAGTTATGGAGAGCCATTGTTTAATGGGCAGCTATTTGTCGATGGGTTTGCGAATTTCTTTGGGAAATTGAAGCAACCTTTAAGCGATATTTATAGTTCATTGGCGCCTCCCGAGTCGAAGGAAGAGATGTCGGAGGAAGAAGTAGATTTACGTGACGAAGAGAAAAGTGACGAGAGGAGCAGAGATAAGGACGACGTTCCAGCAAGAAATAAGTACGAAGAATACACTTTGGAAGGGGATACAAGTAACAGAGGGGACAACGAGATGAAATCTAAAGAAAGTAACGTGGAATCGCCAATGAAAATTTTCAACAACGGATCGAACGACGAAAGTCGATCTCCCTTCGAAAATCGAGAGACGACGGATGAGGTGGATTTTAGTAAATTCATGCCTCTGATCGTTCCTGTTCGGTATCTGACTGCTCCCGAGGAATCAAGAAGGACGCAATTGAAATCATCGGCGAGTGAAAAACCAGAGAAGAATAATATGCCAAGAGCGGAAGTTTCGAAAAAAGTTTCGTCTAAAGAATCGAAGCGACCGAAGAAGGAAAATTTGAAGCCAGTGGCGGGCCTTCTAGAAAGGAGAACGCCGAAGAAACTTCACGAGAGTGAACAAAAAGAAATGCAGTTGTGGCCACCGCCGTTCGATTTCGTTTTCGACGGTACAATTCATACCAACGTCGTTTCAGAAAATTCGAACAATGATGACAATATCAATGTTTCTAATGGCCGAGGAAACAGTAGGGAATCTGAATCTTCCGATAGAATGGAGGATAAAAGTCGTGAGAAGGAAAGAAATCAAGCAACACTTGACAATTCAACTCAGAAGCCTTACGATTATCCTGAGAATATTTATTATCAAAATTTTAAGGAAGAATCCGGATATGGAACAGTACCTGAGGGACAAACAATGGAGAATAGAACTACAGAAAAATCGAATAGAACAAGTTTTGAAATAGAGTCTGATCACGATGATAATAACAGAAAAGAAGTACCAGATTTTTCGGAACGTTACAAGTACATTTCGTATAATAATTATGGAATCGCGAAACGACCAAACATCGGAATAGAAAATTTTCCAAAGTTGCAGGATTCTAAAAATCTTGAATCCTCGAAACGCAGTATTGAAAGAAACGAACAACCTTTGGAAAGTAAACAGCAGTTGAATGTTAAAAATCGTATAATGCAAGATATTCCAGTTTCTCAACGCAAGTTCCAATCTACGATGTTTTTTTACCCTATGGAGAATTATAATTTATTCAATTTTGATGGAGATGTTTATGACCTCAATTATGGGAGGAGAAACGAGAGATTGTCCGGGATATCTGAGGGTGACAAAAACGTTGAACACGAAGAAAGAGATAGCTTGACCATGCCGCAGCAGAACGTGTATCACTATGACGAAAGTTTAACGAAAATCGCCAATGAACCGGAAAGTAAAGCCGCGAAAGTTGAAAATTACGCGAACGGCGCTACCGTTATGAGAATGGTAGAACAAGAACACGTTAATCCGAATGGACCGATTAGTTATGTCGATTATTCTCGCATTTTATAATTTTTCTACGATTCCCAAACAGATTGTGCAGTATGATTTATTTTCAATATTTAACTTAATTTAACAAGTGACATTTAAAAATCTTCCTTAATAAAGCAGTTATTAAAAATTTTACGATTGATTAATTCTTTACTATATAATTCGTATGTTTCATAATTTTTCTCGAGTAATTTAAAAATTTGATGAACTAGATATGAGTTAGAAAGTAAAAATAAATATTAATTTTTAATTTAATTTGAAATATATTATTTCCTTAACATCCTTCCTACATGTTGTCTTTGAATTAAATTGATATGATCGTACGATAATTATAAAAGTATTCTATAGCGTCGCGTATGTGTTACAGGACAAGCGAGAGGAAATGCAAAGACGCAGCGAATTGGAACACAAAATGACGGAAATTCTAGAAAATTTGAAGACTCGCCTGCTGGTGGAGTAATTTTTGCCATTATGATGTGTACCCTTATGTTTTCTGGCTTATTTTTACAGATGCTAATAAGTATATCATCGACGTAAGATTGGATTTTACCCTAATTTTCGTAATACTAAATTTAAAATGGCAACGTGCTATAAGAAGCAGGTAATGGACGTATGAGTAAATCACTCACCAACTTTTCTATCTTGAATTTGAATTTCGTTTGCCATTCTATGTTGTAATTTCACGTTTAAAATCACTCCCTTGATTTACTTGTTACACAATCTGCACCATATTCCAAATTTGTTCGATTTTATTTAACGAAAGCGTAATTTAAAATCGCGATCGTACGAAACGGTGCAATAAATCTTTTCTGACCAAGGAATGATCACTTTCGATAAACGAAATAGCGATAATTATCGAAGTGACAAAGTTCTAGTTAAATATTGCGCCACCAGAGTGTGCTGGCATCGCTGCGTTGTTACTATGTATGAAAATGGCCCGACGTTTTAAAGAATAATGTATCAATCGAATGTACAATCTGTACTACTATCAAATAATTTGACATTATATTACAATATCTATGTAAAGTTTGAAAATTAAAATAATGGAGGAGTATTTACGAAACAAGATATACGAGCAAATCACTTACTCACCAACTTTCCTTTCTTGAATTTGAACTTCATTTATCATCTTGTACCGTGAATCCTATCTAAAATCATTCCCCTGGTTTACTTGGTACACAACCTACCACTACATCTCAAATTTGTTCGATTTTATTTAACGAAAACGTAATTTAAAATCGCGACACGCACGGAACGACTTTTCGTGCAACGAACTTTTTCTAACTGCAGAATAATCGCGTTCGATAATCAAAATACCGATAATTATCGAAGTGACGAATTTTATTTGAATATTGCACCACCAGAGTGCAGTGGTGTCGCTCCGTTGTTACTATATCAAAAAAATCATATTTTAAAAAATAATATATTAAACAATGTGTACTATTAAATAATTTGACATAAGATTGCAATATTTTTTTGTAACGTTTAAAAATTAAAACGTTAAATTAATGGAGGAATATTTACAAAACAAGACGAACGAGCAAATCACTCACCAACTTTCCTATCTTGAATTTGAACTCCGTTTGCCATCTTGTACCGTCGTAATTTCATATTTAAAATCATTCCCTCGATTTACTTGTCACACAACCTATCACTACATTTCAAATTTGTACAATTTTATTTAACGAAATCGTAATTTAAAATCGCGACACGCACGGAACAATTTTTCGTGCAATGAACGTTTTCTAACTGCAGAATAATTGCGTTCGATAATCGAAATAACGATAAATATTAAAGTTTTATTTGAATATTGCACCACCAGAGTGTAGTAGTGTCGCTGCGTTATTACCGTGTTAAAAATGTCTTGATGTTTTAAAGAATAATGTATTGAACAAATATACAATGTGCACTATCAAATAATTTAACATTAGATTACAATATTTTTTGTAAAGTTTGAAAACTGAAATCTTAAAATAATGGAGGAATATTTACGAAATATAGGTGTAGGATTAAGACCTATTGATGATCCATTTTTTGAGGATTCGTACAATATTTGCAAAATTTTTCAACGAAAAGGTGTTATTATTGAAGATGATGAAGAATTGTGTCATGAAGTGTAAGTAAGAATAATATATATATATATATATATATATATATATATATATATATGTGTATATATGTATGTTTATCATTGTCCATAACCTAAAACGTAGTATAAACAGTATAGAGTGATGACTAAAATAATTTGTTAATTTCAGTATAAAAGAATTCTCTTGTTATATTACTGGCTGTCAAGCAATATTTAATACATTAATTGATTTTGAAATGCACTACAACAGTAATCATCGATATGTCTGTGGAGAATGTAAAAAGTGTCTACCAAATCCTAGATTCTTAGATATTCATATTCAAGAAACTCATGATAGCTTTTTCCAAATTTTATCTACGAAACAACCAATGGTATTTATTCTCATTTTGTTATTACATCGGAATGTTAATAAATAATAATTAAATTTAATTATTTTTTCTAGTATCAATGTTATGTGTCTGAATGTGATTTGAAATTTGTTAATTCAACTGAGAGAAAGGATCATTGCATTAATGTACATAAATTTCCCAAGAATTTTAGATTTGACAATACTGTACAGTGCATAAAACATAAGTCAAAAGATAAAATGGATATTAATAAACCAGAACCAGAGAAAAAAGAATCCAAACCTAAGAGAATACAATTGAATAAAAATCAGAAATCTAAAATGTTTATTGTTGCGGCAAAGACAGCGACATTACCAAATGCTACTGTTCATGGAAATACATTAAATACTAGAACAGGAACAACTTCGTTAAATTTTATTCCTAGACAAATACAAAAATCATATACAAAAGCACTTACTAAAAATCAATCCAATGAGAAAAATGTACTGGAAACAGGATGTATGATGGATTTGTCCGATACATTATCAGAGTGTATGAATGACAATAAGAGCATTTCGTAACTTAATGTTTTATTATAAATATATTTTAAATATCACAACAATCTTCATATGTACAAATCTACTATTTTTACTTAATTTCTATCGTATTTTCATTTATTTACATATTGGCAAAAATACATTGTATATTACAAAATCATATAGTCTATTTGATTTATTATAATAAGATTATATAATATTATTATAATAATAATTTCATAAGAATATTACATAATAATAATTCAAATATAAAACAATATAAAATAATAATTCAGATATCAAACAATATAAAATTTAATAGTTTTTGTTAAATAAAATTGAGTTTCTGTTCTTATACATGTGATAATGTTGAATTTGTCATATCTGTCTATTTAACTGAATATCTACTAAATATTAAAACCAAAGTTTAAAGAGTTAAAATATATATAAACAACTTTTCTATATTGTTTACTTAGAAAAATATATATTTATTATAAATATTATATATAATGTAATGATATATATAATATACATATAAATTATATCATATATATTATATTACATTATATTATTTGGCATGTGTAATATAATATGTATTATGTAATACAGATAATTTATGTGTATTACATAGAAATTTTTAACTAGAAATAACACACAAATTATATTTTTTACAAATAATTTAAAATTAATATCTTAAAATTGTCATTTTACAAAGGATCCTACCTGCGTAGGTTGCCACATAAATTTTTTTTTCAATTTATACAGAATGTACAGACACTGCTATAGTGTATTAGTGTGTGTAAAGCATACGTTTTAGTTTCGCTGTTTCCCTTCGAAGTGCTAGAACTTCGTACTTTAATCTAATATTTTCTTGTTCCAGGAAAGCTGCTCTGATAGCAATTTCGTCTTCTTTGGCTCTTCGTGCATCCCTGGAACGTTTCGCGGCTTCGTTATTTTTTCTTCTTTTTTCCAAGTACGCCGCATCCTTTTCGTCAACAGTACTCGTTGGTAGTACAGGACTTTTTGTGGTTCTCCGCATTTTCGTATTCGTTCCTTCGTATGTTTTTTGCACTGATTCCAGCATTCGTTTCCGAAATTCTGAATAGGCTTCATTGGAATTTTGATCATACACCAATTCAGATGCTCCCACAGTGAGCGATAATGGATCTTTTGGATAAGCTTTAAAAGGCCTTGGTGGCTTTTTATTGACATCTGCGGATAAATTAGGTAGTGTAATTTCATTACAATTTGTGATCGATGTAGTAGTACCGTTGATCATTCTACCATCATTTGCATTCAACAGTGCCGGCAGTATGGGAACAATTGGAACAGGAATATTCAGTGGCAAAATAGGTAAACCTCCATTTCGTCCTGTGATATTTGCTGACGCGTTTAGATAATTTTGAATTAACTCGGATTTCGTCTTCTTCGGAGAATCAGAGTCAGAAGGTGGTGTTACCATGGAGTTTCGAACTTCAAAAGGATTTTTATTTCTGAATTCGGAAAATCGATTATCACGACTGTGTGTTGCTACCGTCGTAAATGATTCTGATATTCTGTTCGAGTTTGTTGCCGTCTTAACAGATAGATCCAGAATTAAATCAGTACACGTACTGGAACTCGCATTAACTTGATTGTTATCCTCAAAACATTCGGGTAATAAATTCATTCTGGAACCGCAATCTTTCTCCATCTACATTGAAAAATATAACTCAATTAATACATTATTTTTCCATTTTCCAAATAAATGTAAATTATTGCAAATTAGTTGGCTATCCGAGCGTTTTTAAAAATAATATAAATGGATACTTTTCTATTTTCGATTTGTTTAATTTCCGAAGCATGATAGTCGCAATATAAATAAAGTATGTTTGTAGCGCGGACGGAGTAGAAACTCATACATTCAAATGAATGATAACAATCGTTTGAAATGATGAAATGCCGATAGCAGTATAATCGACGATATACTGACTTTCGAAGGAAAATTACGTTAGTGAAACTGAAACGTTACTCGGAAAATTGAGCAACAACTTAAATTTCAACGCGTTCGATGATGAACAAAGCAAAGCTCTTCCAACGAGAAATCAAAATCTAATTCATTTAATTAAAAATCGAAATGTATGTAACAATGTCACTGAATGTCACATTAGCGTGCCACGTAATTACGCAAATTCGGAATTCTTTTACGCTTGTCATTTACTGTACTATACTGTACTATAATGTACTATAACGAACAATGTTTCTTACCTATGATGAAATTATGATGAACTCAATCACCGATCACTAATATCTCACAACACACTGTCGTTTCAAAACCCACGTTTCTTTCTGAAGATTTTCTGGCGGTAACTGATCGAATATTTCAAATATTGTTCACTCGTTTGACAATTTCGTTTCACAAAATTCGTTTTTCACAGACAAGTCAAACGCAGAGTTCCGTTTTTTCGTAGGACGTGCACCGAGCAAGTGATCAAAATGGTTTAAAACGAAAGAGGGTGTAGTTTCGTTTATATACTGACCAACCCTTGTAAGACCTTTGTAAGGGGGCTCCTTAGAAAATGGTGGGGATATGGCCCTGATGATGGTAATGCCGCGACGCGCCACGGACACGCATTTGTCTCCTTATTTCCAAAATGTTTATGGGACGATACGTTTACATAATTAACGTAAACACGATCACGAACGCGGAAGAAAATCGGTTTGATATTCATAATCGCTGTAATTGATTGTATCCCAGAGTATCTCCAGGAGAGGAGACATGAATATTCGCATTCGCGAAAATAACAATTGAACGCATTCGGGCAGAAGATAGCCGAGTGTCTATTTTTTTCTTGAAACTCGATTTTCTCAGAAACAAAACATCAAAGTCGTTTTCTTTTTTTTCTATTTATTTTAAATACACCCCATACGCGTTTGTATCGCTCGTCCCGAGACAATCTATAATGTGGTAAATGATAAATAGCTAAAGTAAATGCTAAAATAAATTTTAATATAATAGTTTGGTTGCATTGTTTAAAAATATATGTTTTTTGTTCGTGGTAGTGGAATTAAGAAACATTTCAAATCAGAAGACAAACAGTATAATACTAAAAGGCCTATCGGGGGAAAAATCGAATTTAGTTACTTCCAATTATATTAATCAGAGTTATTCAGTTCCAGTTATATTAATTAGACTTGTCGTGTCATCATAAATTATCTTTCTTGAACTACAGTCAGATTCTGTTAAATTAACTCTACCAATAGTCAACTCTTGTAGAATTTCGAAAAATCCAGTGTTAGCACACTAAAATCTTTTCTTTCAGATTATACGTCAACGAGTCTCCTTTCGTTTCCAATCGTTTATCAAAGGGTTAAGCGTTTCGAACGTTGGACAGCCCAGGGTGTCAATAGTATGCACAGAAGTATTCTGAATAACCCTTTCGTCGACCTTTCTTCGACAATTCTTTGTAGCATTTCGTTTGATCTTTGTTTCTGGCAGTTTCATACCGTTACATGATTTATTACGTTCACCTTGAGAGAAAATCGCATAAGTTTACGTAAAGTTTTCATAAATTATCCGGTGAAAGCGTTGCAGTAAAGTGAAATTTTGCTGAAGCTTTCCTGTCGAAAAGAAATGAAGGAATGTCATGTTTTGCACGTCGATGATGTTTGTCAATGTGTTTCATGTGTGCGACGGCTTTCGATCGTTGGTTCTGTTGGCTCGTTAGGATTGGACAACATATGGCAATTTTCGTAGCATACCACCGGAAGATCGACCCACTCCTTTCTTCGACTCTTGCTGATTAATGATTCAGTTTCACCACCGACTACGTAAGTTCATTAGTTTCGTTGCTCTGACTTTAAGACTGCCGTGTCGCTTCTTTGTTCAACCTTTGTCTCTTTCTGGTGGAACAGGATTGAAATCTTTCTTTGGGGACAGCATTGAAATCTGTTACATTTACCCTTTGTCCTCGAAAACTTTTTTTTTGTAAGAGAAATTTCTTCTTCTGAAATACTTTTGCTCTTTTTACGTTGTTATTATAGCTTTCACTCTATAGCGTCTGTTCAGATATTGCATCGTACAACATCAAAAATGTTCATTATAACGATCAGCAAATTATAAAAAGAGGCGACAGGGACGAGTGTAAAGGGTTGATCCTACGTTCTGTCTTCGATTTACGTATTTTATCGTAGGATTAATTGAGAAATGCCGACTGCCCTCTTCAATCGAGAATTCACGAGAAAGTTCGTAGAAGGAGTGTGAGAAAAATAGGGAAGAAATGATGGACAACGAAGGTGTCCAGTTATATTCGATAGTATAGACGTCTCATTATGTCTTGGTCCCAAGATCACGCCAAATTTAGTCTTCCGTTTCATAGCTCCGTTAAAATGGCGCGCCGTCTATTGAAAGGCACCCTGACGCTCAATTCACCGCACCGCCTTCTTTCTCGTATACAAATTTTTGCTCTTTTGGTCACATAACCCACATTTCTATGGTGCAGGGACAGCCGCAACCCGTTATTTGCGATTTTTCCCGTGGCCGTCATCCAACGACAGATGAATGGATCGACGTATTTGCATCTGCTCCTACCGCACCGAAACGTATACATATACAAACGACGTAACGGTACATCGATGCAAAATCCTCGCGATGATTCGACGTGGAAAATGTCTCAATTCACCGGCGTCGTTAACGTTTTTTAAATTGTCCCTCTGCGCTGTGAGAAATCAGTTTTCTTTCTTCGCGCAAGGAGAATGAACAAGGTGAGAAGGTGATACAAGTTTTTCGATACGGCGTATCGATCGTAGGCATGTAAATACCTCATAAATCGCCGTGACTTTCTCACAGTTATGGGAGCCACGGTGTTTCCTAATGATAATAGTTCTACGAATCGGATTTACGTAATGTCTTCTGTTGAATAATATCGGAGATTCCTTGGAATAAATGTTTGCTAAATAGTTTCAACCTTGAAACGTTAATTTATTATACAAGACGATATATCCTGACAGTTTGTAGAATGTATACAAGAAATTATTTCTCTTCTCGGAATGACAAGTAATTACAAATATCTTCAATGCCACCCTTGATCCGAAAGAATTACTCTGTAATACTCGTAGAATTTTCAATATACGTTCTGTAAAAATTCTTTTTGTGTAAATTTTACATTAATCTGGAAGAGATTGAAATAGGAACGTTAATATGTCAATGCACATTGTGTAGGATTGATTGAAAAAACAGATTTCCCCGTGTTTAAGTGAGAATACTACAGGTAGAAGGTACCGTTTGTTAATGACCGTGCAATAAAACCTTTTGTATTTTTATGGGCTGGGTATAAGATATATATATCTTCCGTTAGGAATAATAACTAAGTTATTACAATACAATTGCGATATTATACATAACAGACATAAAGGAATATTAGACATAAAGGTCTGGAACATTAAACACAGTCTTTTCATTTTTCATGTACCATAGCAGGGTTAATTACAGTTGTAAAGTTTTTCACTGTGAAAATGGAATATTATTAAGAGTTTTGCTTTGTTCATAATGAACTGTTTTACAACTTTTCTCGTTACTTAAAAGTAAGGGAACCTTAAATTATCAAGAATTTTCGACTAGAAAGGAGAACAGGTACCGTTTTTTTGGTAGAATTCGACATCAAAGCTGTGCAAAGTGCTTTCTAGAGAAATGGGACATTAGGATGTGAAAGTCGTTCACAGTAATTATTTTTCAATTTATCTTGCGATCGGACCACCGACCAAGTTTTGCCAACAGACTTAGAGAATTGTTTGCTTCCGGTTCTTACGCATGCTTTCTTCTCCCACGTCAACCCTTTCCTTCTGGAAGCTTTCGTATTTCATTGTGTTCGTCGTGAGATACGTCCTTGGTCAGAGTCTTGCAGAAGAAATTTTATTGCTCGACTGACAATAAGTAGTATCCCGGATAAATAGCTTTTGTTATAAAATATCTTATAAGCGATACGTCTTATTTGCAACGTATACAGATCGCCAAAATTCGAGAAAATGCTTGGAAAAGTGACTTGTTGATGGAGAATAACTTTTGTTGTAGGAGAAGTAGAAACGTTTTTCTGTATATTTGTGACAGAAGATGTCGAAAATATCTATGTGGTTCATTCTTTGTCGAATGAAATTTGTCAATTTTGAAATTGCAATTCGAATTACATCATTCGTCAAAGAATGAGCAATATTTGTGCAATATCGCATAAATATCTCTTTTGGATTTCGTTCTGGAAAGCCACGAGAAAACTGAAAATGGGAAAACCGTAGTAGTCCCAAGAAAACAGATCGCTCGGTGTCCAATTACTAAGCCATACAGAGTAAAGAGTTGAAAATCTCTTTCTCTCTCTTTTTAAAAAAGAAAAAAGGTCAAAAGCTGTTTGTTTGAGAAGCCATCGAGCGCCGTTGCAGAAAGATTTGTGTATTTCTGCACTCCTACTCTAGTCTACTTTGTCGTTAATTTCGAGCCAATTTTTTTTCAATTTCCTCTCTCGTTTCACCTTCGTGAGAGCTTCTATCAGAAAGCAAAAACTTTTTCATCATTTTGTTCAGGTCTGTTTTTAAAATACATTTTTGTAATCTTTCTTTTATAACCCTCGACTTAATGGTTTCCAAAATAACAGGAATTATTAGTGAAAAAGAAAGAAATTTAACAGGGCGAAACACAATCGACAAAGAAATCACAATTATTATTCAAAAGCATAAGAAATAGTCCTTTGAGGAAGAATTTGAAAAATTGAAGGACAAGGGATAATCATAAATAGTAATATACAATTCTATTAGATATTCAAGTCAGTATAACATGCAAGTAAAAAAATTTAGCTAGATTCTATGCCCCCCCCCCCCCCCCCCGTTGCTCACATGAAATCGTCAAAGACTAACGTTATTAAGTTATTTATTTTTACGGCATTCATCTTCTTAGCAATTACTTACCTTACCTAGGAATTTCTCAGAACTACTTTACAACAAAGTGGAAGAAAGTTCAGTTCAAAATTTAATTATAGCGTAACGTATTAATTCTGATTTGTGAGTCATTAGTTAACCGTTTTTACCTAACCAGAAAATCGTTTCAGATTTCCTTTTATAATTCAGTTAATAGTTTCCAACATTTTTTACGATAGCTTCGTATATTTTTTTCAAATATTTACACAATGGTGTTTTATGAACGACTTAGATGTGGGCGTACCGTTTTGAACGTATACATCTTCTGTTTTGTCGGTTGTTTACTAAGAAAGATCTAATAAAAGAGAAAATTTTTAGAAATTTTGTATTTACATATAGAAGATTTTCTAAATCTTTGTATATTTTTCTCGGATCGTACGACATGAAGACCTAATGAATCTAAGACCCATCCTGCGTAAGTCTGATAACATTCCGTATCGTCATCAATCCCCGCAAGCGTTGACTGCTCTTCAGGTTCTCATTTTATTTACTTTCTCATCCTCTCGATATATTTTTTGATTCGATTCCATCTCATGAGAAGCACATCGCTTCACATTTATATCTCATAATATCGTCAAGAACATACATCGATAACCGTGCAACGCCTACCAGTCGCGTGTATCGACAAGATGAATAATACATCTTCTTGGAGATTCTTTGAAGCGAGGCAAGGTTGAGAGCCATTCTTTTGAAAACACCGGGATGTTGGTCAGCATGTCATATGGCCAATAGCCAGTGGCCGCGTGGGTGGATGCAGAGTGCAGATGCAGGAGCAGGCCAACCCTTCCGTAATAACGTGGAAAGAAGGGGGCTGTACCACGACCCTTCTTTCTGCATTGTGACATCTCGATATACATTGTGTCCACGCTTGCTTGTCCTTCCTGAACGGTGTATAGTCCAGCAGCTAGCTAACGGTAAACGCAGGGTGGGGAACGGTGCACGAAAATGTGTGTCAGAAACCCACGATTTGTCCATCGCTAGAACCACGACCTTGATGAACCTTTTCACGTTGATCGTCGGCGAAATTAGTATTCGATAAATTTTCTTCAATACTAGCGGTTTATTTAATTGAAATCAGAAACCACAAGAGAAAACGTGAGAAGTTGCATTTTCCATTTGAAAAAAAAAAAAAAAAAAAAAACGAAATGTGTAATAATATAAATAATATATATATTTTATACATTTTCAGAAATCCATCGTAAACCGATCATATTATAGATCATATCATACGACTAATCAGTTTTCTTTACTACGTGTGGCAGGTCATACTTTCCACGAACGCATCTGATTTTAACACCTGGGGTATCCTTTATTTTTCCTGGTCGACACAGCACGACGTTATGCTCTTGAAGATTGTGACCCTCACCTAAAGTAAAAAATAATTTAAATATCCAGAATTAGGATCTAGGAATTTTTATCGGTATAAAATATAAAATACTCACCAGGTATAAAAGCAACCATTTCTTTGCCGGATGATAAGCGAACGACAACGCATTTTCGATTCGCAGAATTTGGCTTTTTTGGCTTCCTGATTACAGTCTTTAAGACTACGCCTTTCGCAAACGGTACCCCAAATCCTAAAGGATTTTTATTTTTCTTCTCCCTTTTAAACGGTCCAAGTTCATGCAACCTTCGTAATGACGATCCCAGCCTCATCTGCATGAAACCTAATTTGATTAAATACTTATAATAATGTAAAATTAAATACTTATAATAATGTAAACAGTGAGATAATAATAAAAAAAAGTGATCATTACATCATTTAGGACAATTACAATTCGTTACATCAGTTACGCAATTTATTTACACTGTAGCGGCTTAGAGTGCGGAACGCTGCTAGGATGGGTGACCGTCTAGCCTAGCGAATAGTTAGAACAACAAGCGTTTGGGGTAAAAAGTCGCTGCCATCAGCCCCACTGATGAGTCTAAGCAGCGATTCTGAGACAAAACGCATAACCTTTCCTCACCTTATTCACAACCAAGATACTATCCTTTCATCTCCTTCCTCCATCCTCGCACCAATTGTAAATAGTGTACATATGTAAATAGCTACTAGAAATCCCTTCAACACGTTTATAATTAGAAATTATAATTTCTAAATTGTATATATCGACGAAAATAATACTTAATGCACTATTGTAATTTTACAAGAAATTTCATTGTTCAGTTTGCAATTTTGTAGAGTGTAATATAACATTTGTGTATAACGTTTATTTTTCGCTCATATTTCGAATAATTTCATTTTTCTTTCATCTATGTTTCAAAGTTAAGAACGTGTATTTATCAAACAAAAACGACTTATTAAGCTCCGAATGAACGTACGAGGAAACAAAAACGACTTATTAAGCTCCGAATGAACGTACGAGGAAACAAAAACGACTTATTAAGCTCCGAGTGAACGTACGAGGAAACGTCTTTGGTGTCCAAAAGTGTTTAAAGGAAATAATAGTTGTGAAGCAATTACAATTCTTTCCTCCAGCAGACTTTCATCTTTGAGACATGCATACCCGTAAAGGAGAGATAATCATCTGCTAAATAGGTATAATTGGTTTTTTACTGAAACTTCTACGTAACAACAAACCAGGCCTAATTACTGTCGAACATATTTTTCAATGACGAAATCACGCCCTGGGATACGACTCCTTAACTAATCATCGATCTCGAGAAATTAGGAAAAGTTGAGCAACGTCCAACTCGCCAGAAACTATTTTCTACCTAAACCTACGAGTCTACGAAAATCCCTGAAAATATTCCAAAAACCTTGACATACTTCTCGCAAAAATTGCATGGAGCCTACGGGGGAAAAAAAGATCGTAAATAATATGGCTAAGAAATACGATAGGGAAATGGTCCCTACGGATGACGATATCCCAGTCAAGACCATTGTGAACGATGTCAAGAAAAATAGGAGACCCACGGCGCGGTAACAGTACCAAGAAACTGAAAACTCTTTCGCAAATAATCTTACGAACCGAAGGGAAAGAGGGTTTTCAGGTCCCATGGAATACCAAATATGACGGACGCTTGACATCTGTAAGCCGCTCGTCCAAGAGTAGTCTTTTTTCGCTCGAGCGTGCATAAGCTTGTTAAGTAACATTGTTACGAGGTATGGCCCGTCCAACTTGCATAAAAAGCTCACGATCCGTGAGATCATATGACCTGAAAGTGAACAGCAATTTACCGTTTGCAAAATTGTGAAGATAATAAAACTTGGAAGATGGAATCCTCAGATTGCCTTTCTGTTGTTTGATCATTTAATTAGGACTGGTCAATGTCGAGAAAAAGACTTACTTCACCATTCAAGGAATAGTTTCCCCGAGGCTTTTATTTCCAAATGTGAATCGTTTCTTGAAGCTAATAAGAGACTTAATAACCGTTATTTAAAGGAAAAAATAAAGCAAAATCAATTGATTATAATATATCTAATGCTATACGTGTATGGAAATGGAATTACAGTCGCAATGGTCATAGACGCGCGCAATTAATGCAATTTAGAGAGAATAGGCAATTTATTATATCAGAAAACGAATACATTCAGAAGGTCAATCTTAAAACAGCAGATCATTTGCACACCAATCTTGGAAATAATTTATGTAACGCAACACTTTCCAAAATGATTGTTATCTTTCGTAGAATTTTCAGAAGAATACACATAAAAGTTTCATCAGAATTGTTCAACATCTCCACCGTCAAAAGTTCCGACTATTCCCGAATTATTATGCACAATCAATTCGGTCGTCGGTCATATGAAAGAAATTCTTTTAAAACGATGATGTATTCGAAGAGATTCATAGTCGAAGTGAAACATCAAGGATGACATGACAATTTCATGATATTCTCTTGGTTGTTCGTGGGAGTCTACGATTTTCCAGGATGTGTTAGTCGAGACTGTACCATTGTTGTTCATTTCGAGATCTAGCTGACCACTGGCTCGTCAATACGACAGATGTCCAAGCCTGCCACTGCTAATCCGACCTAACTTAGACTTAACTAAGGCAAGAGACCAGCAGAACCTATTATGCATGGAAGGCAACCCCTTTTTCTCGAAGATGAATACGCAAGATTACATTGCGAAAATTCGTAAGATGTTGTGGTTACTTTTGTCGCGTACACGATGCCAAGATACTGTGCCACTCGCCAAATCCACGGCTTATCTGCCGATGAATGGAATCAATATTTTACATAATTAGAAGCTGATTAAAAGGTCTTGGGCTGATTGGAGGCCAGTGAAACGAGTTAAGCTCTTTTTAGCGAGCAAGCGAAATACAAACGAGAATAGAAAACAGGAGAGATTGTTTTTTATATTAAAAAAGCAAGGTTGAAAATACTGAATAAAATTTAGAATGCTGTTGTTATCTTTCATCTATAGTTACATATTTAACAGAAATAAATAACATAACGTAGCTAAGCTGTCCAACATCTCACATAATTGACATAATTGAACGGTACTATATTTTCGATATAATATGTGCGACATTGTTATTTTTTTTTCCCCCCTTTTTATCTACTATTCTAACATTCACAACTATTTTTTATATGTTCATGATATGATAATGAGTATTGCCTGTAAATTAGTAGATAGATAAATAAATAAATAAATAATAGCATGTGCAATGATGCATTTTTTTTTTATTGTCAAGACCGAGAATGACCCACGAACTGGAAAAATGTGAATGACAATCATTTTGCAGGCTGCACCCTTCACAGAATCACTTTTGACAACTGGTCAACCACAAATGGACACATCACCCCTTCGATTCCCAGTGATTTTCGCTGTTGGCCGAGGAAAAGCCTGCTTTCCCTCATTCGTGTCCTTTCTTACGGAGTGGCCAGATCCCTTTTTGCATTTTGAGATGTCTTTCTCTTTTTAGTTTTGGGGATCAAAGAGGTAAAGCGCTGCGTGCGCTTTTGCAAGCCATACGCATTTTCGCGAGCGAAGAATAAGAGAAGAAAATCATGGTCCCTTTTTAGTTCAACCACCCCTTTTGCTATATTTACTCCGTTGAGAAGAGCGGAGATACCGATCTGTTGGAAAGGCTTACGGAAATTCGAGACATCACTCGAATTCCTATGGAGTTGCTCGGTCTTGTTACACTTATGGGAACTGCAAACAATATCGATGAAACTTCACGCGATTTCACGTAAATGGGTCAGTACTGGCTCTGGTTTACAACTACTAGCTCTTTTTTCTTATATTTTGAAAAATTTCATTCTCACAAGGAGAGATCACAGCTGTTCGGTCGTTCGATTTTAATGAAATTTGGTATGTCGATTCTAAAGTAAAAATAATTTGACTATGTCCAAGCATTTCTGTCAATACTCATTATTTACAGAGATATTTAATATAATGTTTTAATCTTCTATCACAGCTACACATACTTTTTTTCTTAAAGTTGGAGGTACTGATGTAGTAGCGAAGCTGTAGTATAATATATTCATACCCGGAAGTTTTAGGATTACCTCCCACAGAAGAACTTTTTTTTTGTATTATCTCTATTTTTGTTTTCTTTCTTTTCTTTATTTTTTTTTTTTTTTTATTTTTTTTTTTTTTTTTTTTTTTATGTAGAATACTGTGTTTTATATTTTTATAATGTCCCTGGTTATATCGCCATTATTACAATTTTATAATGTCCCT